GCAGTGTTTGTTAAGATCAGTGTAATCAACGCACATTCTCCATTCTTTATTCTTTTTTGAACGAGAACAGGGTTTGCTAACCACTCAGGATGATACACTTCTTTTATAAATCCGGTAGCTAAGAGCCATTTTATTTCTACCCTAATAGCCTCCTTGTCTGGTGCGAACCGGTGGAGTTTCTGCTTGATCGGTTTGGCGGTCGGCGAGACATTCAAGGAGTGCTCGATCTTTCTCCCGTGGTACCCCGGCATGTCTCAGAGGTTTCCAAGCAAACACATCGACGTTGGCACGTAGAAAGGAGATGAGCACGCTTTCCTATTTGGGGTCAAGGTGAGCCCTAATCTTTACGGTCTTGGAGGGGTCATCGAGGTCGAGGCCGAGGCCAAGGCCGACCTCCTTTATTTTCTTAGACTTGGCGGAGGCGCGGGGAGGCTCCAACTCTGGGATCTCCATGTCGTCGGCGGGCAACGTCTTGGCTTCGGTGACCACGCTGGCCATCTAGATGGAGAGGTCGGTGGCTTAGGCGAGGGCAAGATTCTCTGTCTCGCAGGCGTAGGCGATGGAGAGGTTGGCCCGTAGGGCCGTAACTCCCCTGCAGCGAAGGCATCTTGACAGACCAGATCTGGCGTGGTGTGGTACGACCATGAACTTGGCCGAGCCTGGCCGCCCAAGTATAGCGTGGTAGGTGGTGTTGAAATTGGCGACGAGAAGTTGATGTGCTCGACGCGGTAGTTGCTTGCCGTGCCGAACTATCTTGGTAAGGTGATCTCTCCAAGCGGTTTGGAGGCCCTGCCAGGTACCACACCCCAAAAGGAGGAGTTGGAGGGTGTGAGATCTGCTAATCCGAGGCCTAGCTCCTTTAGGACTCCGGCGAAGAGGAGATTCAGAGCACTTCCACCGTCGACGAGCACTTTTCTGAAAAAACACCTTTTGGACGGTTGCATCGAGGACGAGGGAGAAACACCCTGTGTAGGGAATGTCCGACCACTGGTCAGCCCTGCTGAAGGTGATGGGGACCTCGGACCATGGGCGATAGCTGGGGTTGGCGGCGGCGTCCTCCGTAGTGACGGCGAGCACCAGCCATGCGGCGAGCTTCTGTTCTCTTCTGCTCTCGGTGGAGGCGAGGCCCCTGAAGATGGTGGCGACCACCTTGTCGTGGTCCTGGAAGGCATTGTCATTGCCCCCAGGTGGTCGGCGACCACCGGCTCCGTCGTTGGCGTCGTCGTCTAGCTTTTTGTCCTAGAACTCCTTAGCCAAACCAAGGCAGTTCTTCATCTTGTGCTTAGCGTTCTTATGGAGAGGGCACGGGCCATCGAGGATCTTCTTGTACTGCTCATCGTAGTTGCGCTTGGCACGAGGTTCATTGATGGCAGCGACGATGTGGTCCGGCGGTGGCGGCGATTTTGACTAGTCTTGGGTCCTTTCGATCACGGCTACGGCCACGTATCCACGATGGTAGCTCGCGGTCGTCGTGGTGGCGGTCATTGTGGCGGCGATCGTCGGGCGGTCGTCGTAACGATGTGTTAAGGCGATGAGTGCCCGCATCCTCATTGAAGCGCACCTCGGCTTCCTCGGCGTCGGCGTACTGGTTGGCGGTTGTGATCATCTCGCCGATCCTAGTGGGCGGCTTGCGGTTGAACTTGGAGCGAAGCTCGCGGTGATGGAGTCCTCGGATGAAGGCGGTGATGACCTCGGCTTCCGTGATGTTTGGAATAGAATTCCTCATCTCAGAAAAGCGTCGGATGTAGCTGCGGAGGAGCTCGGATGGCTTCTGGTTGATGCGGTTGAGATCATGCTTGGTTCCCGGTCGCGTACACGTAGCCATATAATTATCGGTGAAGACTTTTTTCAGCTCTTCCCAGGATCCGATGGAGTCTGGGGCAAGGCTAGTGAACCAGTTCATGACGGTTGGCGCGAGCATAATGGGAAGATAGTTCGCCATGACACTGGTGTCTCCTCCGGCGGCGCGAACAGCAATGGCGTAAGCCTGTAACCACTGTGTTGGATTCATCCTCCCCTCGTAGGGCTCGACCCCAGTGATTTTGAAACCACGGGGGCCACTGAAGTGTACGGAGTGCCCTTGTAAATGTCGGGGGCCCCTCGGGGTTCTCGGCGCCGTCGTCTGCGGCGTTGCCTCCGGCGAGTGGCTCGAGAGCTGAGTCCGGGTTATCGTACTCTTGCTCGTACTCCTGGCGGCAGCGTACTTCGTCTTCATGGCGACCAAAGCGGCGTTCGTCGATACGTCGTCGTGCATCTCGAAGATTGTTGAGGTGCACCCGGACATCTTGGTCGACCTCCTGGTCGTGTTGGCGGTGATGTTTAGCGCGGTTGCCCCTAGTTCCGCCCTGGAGGGGTTGCCTGTCGTCGCGGTGCTGGTCAGTGAAGCGACTTTGGCGGCGATCGGTTCTTTTGGCGACTGATCGGCGAATCGAAGTGGTGGAGTATGAAGGTCTCTGATCCTAGCGAATCTCATTGACCTGGCAGTGCGCCGCTTTAAGCATGGCGACGACCTTGGCGAGCTCGGGCGTTTGCGGGAGGCGGGTGAGCTCGTTGGTGGCCACTGCCAGATTGACGCTTGGAGTCTTGAAGACGTCGTGGCCGTCAACGCGGAGAAACTCTTTGTCGAGGTTGCGCTGGAGTGGCCTTCCTTGCGAAGTCGAAATTGCTGCTCGCCATCGCAAAGGCATTCTCGTTGCTTTCGGCCAGCGCGATTGACGTTTTTTGGTTCTCACGAGCGGCCCGTTCCTCCTCGGTTTCGCCTGCGTTCCTAGAAATTTGTCGACGCCGACGTTGAAGATTGCGCCGCCACGGATGGAGGGAGAGGAAGTTGCTCGGTGAAGGTTTGGCGAGAGTCTCCGAGAGAGCCACGGGACTCGGAGCCCGGATTCTCTCTCAGGATGGTGCGGAGGGACGCCCGGGGCATCGGCCGACGTGGAGCATGTTGGACGGCGCGAGGAGGCTGGTCGGCAATCTGGTCGGCGAGAGGATGGATGTCTCCCACCTGGTGGCGAATTTGCCCCTTAGGGCGTCTTGGAAGGTGGCGGCGGCGTTGGCGAGCCTGAAGGGCAGAGCCACAACCCCTGGAGTGTTCCGAGCAGCCTCCGGCAGATCTGGATCGGTGGGGGGTCGGTGCTGGACCAGAGTGTCCAGAGCCGATTCGGTGATGGAGAGGCAATCGGCGAGCTTCAGACCAACCCGATCGATAGATGCGATCAGATCGTCATTGTTAATCTGCCTCGTCTGGTAGCGAGGAAGCGAGTGGCGAGTCGTCGATGAAGGCAACCTCGGAGGTGGTTTCGAGATCGGATCTGCTATTGCTGCAGTGCGGGGTGATCGCGAGAATCGATCCGTGCGGCTCAAGGAGCTCTCCGACTCCATCGCCGCGTTGATGATCCATGAGATCGATTTGACCGTGAAGATCCGCCGGGCTGCGGGGAGGGAAGAAGAGCTGCGGAAAAGACATCTTGTTCGACAGGGGAAACAACACGCAATCCCCTACTCGGCGCGCCAACCGCCGGATATGTAATATCGTTTAGATCCTTCGAGGGGTATCCCACGAAGGTAGATTGATCGGCAGAGGAGCGTGAGATCAAGAACAAGAAGGCAACAAAAACACACGAGTTATACAGGTTCAGGCCGTCAGTATGACGTAATACCCTACTCCTGTGGTTTGTTGGTTTGTATTAGCTATGATATGATATTGCGTGAGTTTGGAGGGGGTCCCCGCCGCTTTATATAGTCCGGGAGTAAGGTTACGAGTCGTATTGCCATCCTTAGACCTGAGCGGGTTTTGTCTATCGGCAATCACTATCAGCACTTATTAGCTTCTACGGTCAGAAAATCTTGGTTCATTGCATTGTTTTGGTATCGTGGAATGATGTGGAGGATAAAAAAGTTCGGACGAGTGGCACATGTGTCCGCTCAACTTTTTTAATGACACATATGGAGTTGCAAACTTTTTTAATGGTACACAGGGAAAAGACTACTTTAATTGGTGCATTGAGAGTGATGGGCAGTGGGAGTGTCAGATTTGTGCTGGGATCGTTTTGAAATTGCGATATGCTATGCCCTCGGGGTTGAAGGGCTAATTTTGATATGTTATGCGATTTGATGCCATTATTCGTTTGTAGAGCTACTACACCTCACCAAGGGTGACAGAAAAATTCGATCTTCGAAATGAAGAAAGAAAGTTTTTTCCCCCAGTGGCTGCTGTAGTCCTGTCAGTTTTAAATTTAGTGTTTAGTTGATAGGTGTACAGGTTGTCCCATTATATTCTTTTCAGAGACAGATTTTCACGTTTGTTACCTGATGTTATAAGTTCAATTGGTGCCATCTGGTTGTTCGATTTGATTATTCGAAAGTACTACTAGAATTTGTTGTGAAATAATGTCTACAAATAATTATTTGTCAGTTTATCAAGCTATGATCGACACTATCTTGCAATTGCAAGGATAAGTGGATAACCACATTACATTTTTTTTTCTTTCATGAATTCGTTTCTGACAGAATAAGCTATTTCATTTGCCTGCTATTTATTCATGCAATACAGAACACACCAACCTGAATCTGCAGCATACAAATATAAAACAACCTGGTTTGTATTCAATATGTTTAATATGTATCAATTAGTACATGAGAAAGAACTGCATGTGAGGCTGTGATCAACGGCATTGTACAATATGTGGTTCAGCTGTTGAAGTAGGAAAACTAACTGAATGAACATGATGGCATTTCCATTCATCGCAAAAATAATCCTTTCCTCCTTCAGAAACTGCCTGTATTATGTACAAGGTCACATAACCCTTCCTGCTTAGTAACAGTATTTTCTGTATTCTACGGTGCTACTAGGACTACTTTCTGCTGATGTATTCCAGTGCTTCTGTTGATATGCCGATTATAGCATACAGCACAGCAGGCAGAGTAACAAATACTGGTGTCTGCATGGTACGGTGTCACAGATGGCATTCGGCATTGCGAATGCCTCTATGGACCATGAAAGCTCAATTCCACCTCTTTGAATTTTTAAGCGACTTTGATTTTTGTTTGCTTTGTTGGAAGGCCTGCATCTTCTGCTTCTTTCTGACGGCTTTCTCTGCCTGCATTAGAGTTCAGAAAACGAAAACAACTGTTAGACTGGCAAACTAAAGTAAACCAATTTTACAGCTCACACCTGAAGTGGCCTAAATATTTACCTTCGACATTTTCGACTTTGCTTTTACTTTGGGGGCTTTCTCCTCGAGCTCTTCCTCACGAGCAAGTTCCCTTTCTCTGGCTTCAAGGTTCCTTTCAAGGTAATACTGCAAACATTTGATAAAGAAAAAACTTCATCATTAATGGTTATCTCATCTTCCAATGACCTAGACAATCGCATTGATTTTATGCTAATTTATCACTGAATGGCTGGAGCCATTATGATTCTGTTTCCCAATTGGGTCATGTCAGATTCAGCATGGGAACTTTTTGACACTAGATAGATCTCTTAGTTCTCTTTCACTGCATAGTTTCTGTCATACTAATCTCTTACATGACCATCTAATAGATGCATTCAGGATGACAATACAAATCACTTATGCCATGTTAAGCAGAGAACACTATAGATGGATGCAATCAGTATTAAGGGGAACTATTATATGCAAAGAGTTCAACATATAGGTGAGGCAAGTTTCTAAGATCATAGGACAGCTTACATTGTAATCTCCTTGATAGTCTTGGATAGTCTGATCTTTCACTTCAATGACTCTGTTCACAATTTGTTTTATAAAGTACCGGTCATGAGAAACTGTTATTACAGTACCTGTATATTCTGATATTGCCTCCTGTCAAGCATGCAAAAAGTTATTAGGACTGCATGCTAGAAAATTTCCTCAATCCCACATGAGAGAGATGAGGAACTGATAGATCATAAAAAATGATTATTATATAGAACAAGAACTGTGTCTGACCTCAAGCATTTCTTTTGATGGGATATCAAGATGGTTTGTCGGTTCATCCAAGATGAGTAAAGTAGATGGAGTCACCATGAACTTGCAAAATGCAAGCCTTGCCTAAGAAATCATAAATAAAGGGTGAGAAAATGTAAACAGGCCAGTAATACTGTTCTACAAAAATCATTGTCAACCACCAACGGAGAGCATTTAGGCAGAGCTTCAGCTTATAAAGGTGACTTCTGAGGAGTAAAAAACAAAAAAGGTAAAAACTGTACTGAAAACGTGCATTACCTTCTCTCCACCACTTAAAAACTGAACTTTTCTATCCAGCATGTCATCCCTGAAGTTACAACGGCCAAGGAGACCTTTGATATCATCAAGTGTCCAGTCCTCTGCAGCTTCTGCTACAGTGTCTAGCACAGTCTTCTCTAAATCAAGAGCTTCTGCCTGGTAGAACATCATATCCCATTAATCTAAATGGAAAAGGACAACTTTTTGTATTTATTCAGTAGGAGCATGACTAATAAGTAATAACCAAGTGCCCCCATGTCGACATCTGATCTAAACAACCGCAAGAGAAGATAACAAGCAGAGTAACTCTATTTACCTGATTCTGCTCGAAATAGTTCGGCAACACATTATGGTCCCCAAGAAGCACCTCACCACCTTGTGGCTTCTCCATCCCCAAAATAAGTTTAAGCAATGTGCTCTTTCCACAACCATTGGGTCCAATAATAGCTATCTTTTCACCTCTCTCTACTATAAGATTAGCATTGTTGAACAAAGTCTGGACACACAACACAGCAATCAGGATAGGTGCAAAAAATTGATGTAGAGAATATCACAGTATAAAAATTCAGAAAACTAAAATTTTGGAAGAAATGGCCAATGGGCATCTACACAACATTGCTGACCTTATCCTCAAATCCGAATTGAAGATTGTTTATTGTCAACACAGTTCTCCCACTTCTTCCACGGTCAGGGAATCTGATCTTTAGCTGCTTCCTTTGGAAAGGTTTCTCAATCAACCCTTCCTTTTCAAGCTTCTCCAATTTCTGTTGAAACAAGATAAAAGTTAGTAGTCACACAAAAATGTGTAGAAATATATGAAGAGAAATAGAAGCTAAAATTACAATTCGGTCACAATGATTTGTTGCAGGCTTCCCAATAAGCAATCCAAGTAGTTACCTTCTGCTCACTGGAAGCACGCCCTGCATTAACTCCGCACCAAGTCTGTTTATCAGCTCCTTTGTCTGCTCAATCTCCTTCTGCTGCTTCTCCCATGCAGTATACTGCGCCTGCACTGCTACTGCCTTCGCTAGAATGTACTCTGAATAGTTACCCTTGTATGTCTTGGACACACCAAATTCAGTTTCCACTATCTTTGTACACAACTGATCAAGAAACGCCCTGTCATGAGATATAATGACCATCGGCACATCCTGCGTCTTAAGATAGCTCTCCAGCCACTCAACGGTATCCAAATCGACATGATTCAGAGGCTCATCAAGCAAAAAGCAAATCAGGGTCCTGCACAAGATCGAATTTACACTATTTTTAGAACATTTAAAACTAAAAGCAATTGCCATCAATAACCCAATGACAATCTATCAGAATTCACTGCCAATTTGCTAGTACAATGCAATTCTATTTGCGGTCATCACAATTCATCACATTGTACATTTGTAAGGATTATGCAGCATGATGTAAAGGTTAATTAATGTTTATACCTGAAGAAGTATCTTGCCAAGAGACATCCTCATTTTCCACCCACCACTGAAGGAGGCGACGAGGCGGTCGGCGTCCTCAGGCATGAATCCGAGCTCTGGCATGAGCTTCTGCACCTTGACGTCCACCATGTCGAGGTCCACGTCCTGGGAGCGGCGCTGCAGCAGGTCGAGCTCATCGAGGAGGCGGCCCATGAGGTCCATGTCCTCGGTGGCGCCCTCGAGCGCCGCCTGCACCTGCTCGAGCCGGCGCTTGACCTCCATCTCCTCCTGGAAGGCGCTGAAGAACTCCTCCCTGACGGTGCGGGAGGCGGAGACCTCGAACTCCTGGCTGAGGAAGGCGATCTTCATGTTGTCCTTGGCCTTGACGACGGCGCCGCCGTCAGGCTGCTCGAGCCCCGCGATGATGCGGAGCTGCGTCGTCTTGCCCGCGCCGTTCACGCCGACGAGCCCCACCTTCTCGCCGCGCTGCACCTCCCAGGACACGTCCTTGAGCACCGTCACGCCCTTTGTAGGATTTTGAGATTCCTCCAGCCGCACCCCGGACGGGATGCTAGATGCGCCGTTGCTGCCGCCCGACCGCTTCTTCTTGGTCCTGGCGGTGGCGCCGGAGGCGGCGGAGGAAGGGTCGGAGGAGGTGAGGAGGAAGAAAGGTCCTGGCTTTTGACGTCCTCTTTCTCCTCGGTGGTTGTGGTGGTGGAGGGGGAGGAGGTGGTGAGGCGGCAGGATAGGGGGCCATGGCGGCGGCGGCGGAGACGGCGGGATGTGGTGGGGACGGCGCGGGAGGAGGAAGGAGCGGAGGGAGGAGTGAGGAATGGAGGCGGAGGGAGCGTGCATGAGCTTGCCGGAGAGGAGGTCCATGGCGGCCATGGAGTCCTCCGTCTCTCGGAGCTGGAGCCGGGGCCTCTCTGTGTGTGTGCTCTGTTTTGGGTGGAGACAGAGCGGCCACACAGCACAAACCCAACCAGAGGTGAGTGTATGGGTGAGAAAGGAGGAGCAGTGGAAGAAGAAAGACTTTTATCAAAAACAATTTTGATGCGTAATTTTAGGTTCTAAACAATAGCTTTTTTTCCGATCGCGTAAAAGATTTGTACTTTGTATTATTAAGGTAGAAAAAAATTGATGCAACACGCCTTAGCGGCGTCGTGAGGGGTCAATAAAGTTTTAAACAAGAATCTTTCAAAAATTTAATCTCAAAAGTGTTCTTTATCATTTTAATTTCTTTTGCTTTTGGATTTTAGGATAAAATTCCATAGTGAAAATCTAGTTTTCATAGGAAAGGAGAGTTATGTATTTCTTTTTCCCATTGAGTTTTTTTTTTTCAATTGCTTTAGTGTGGTCTCAACATTTCTAGGATAAATTATTGGTGGCATTGTGTGTGGTATTGACGTGGTAAAAGGATCAAGAATAGTCTTTCAGTTGTATGTGTCCTTTTATCAAAAAAAAAAGTTTTATGTTTCATGCAGATATTTTTGTTGTTTATGAAAGCCTAGTTTGAAAAGTTTCTTCTAGACAGGGTAAGAAGATAATAGTTTTATTTTCTTTTGAGGTTTCTATTTGTTGATTTCATGTGGTCTAAATTTTGGAAGGATAAATAGGTAGAAAATGTCCCCCCATGAAGTTGATGCTTTCCTACATGTTATGAGTAGTTAATTGGCATGCAACCGTCACCGCAAGGGATGTATTTTTGAATGATTTTTGTAAAAAAAAAACAATTACGAGGTTATTTAAAATACTCTCTTCTCTAAACATGCCTTTGGAATTTTTGTTCTGCTTTGTTTATGTTAATATCTCTTTCCTTTTGTTTGGAAGGAAAGGGGAGGCACTCAAGCTTGTTTTCCGTTTTTTGAGTTTTTCATGTGCTGTTCAGTATGGTTGAGTACATTTTTGGAATGAACAACCTAGAACTTTCTGTTGAGTATTGAATATATCTGATTCGATGTTTTATAAAGATGGTGGGAATAGGCAGTACCATGACGAAAATGATTCTCTTGTAGATGCTCTTAGTGGCGTGTGATATTAACGCGGCAAAAGGATCAGGAATAGTCTTTTGGTGTGTTTTGATTCTATGAAGATATTATTTTTCTTAATGAAAGCCTAGTTTTAGATACTTCTAGAGAGGGGAAGAAGATAATAGTTTTATTTTTCCTTTGAGGTCTCTATTCTGTTGATTTCATGTGGTCTAATGTTTTGGGAGGGTAGAAAACTTTCTCCCCATGAAGTTGATGCTTTTTTACAAGTTTGGAATAATTATTGGTATGCAACCGTCACCACAAGGGTTATATTTTTGAATGATTTTTTTTTCTAAAAAAAAGTTTCTATTAAGAAGGTTCGCTTTAAATACTCTCTTCTCTAAAATTGCCTTTGGAAATTTTACGCTATTTTGTTTATGTTAATATCCCTTCCCCTTTGTTTGGAAGGAAAAGGGGAGGCACTCAAGTCTTGTTTTCACTTTATGAGGTTTGCATAGGTTGGTCAATATGCTTGAGTACATTTTTGGAGTGAGCAACCTAGAACTTTCTGCTGAGGATTGAATATCTCTCTCTGGTTCAACGTTTTATGGAACTTCGATGTTGTACTCACAAGAGCTAAATATGGTGGGAATAGGCAGCACCATGACGAAAATGATTTTTTTTTTGTTAAGATAAGAAAGCCCTTTTGTGGGAATAGGCAGCACCGTGCGATACTCTTTTTGGCAGTAGCGCGTTGATGGGCCGAGAAATTCTTGTGGCCTGTGTTCATTCATGGGTAGGAGGAGGACGAAAGCCGACGAGGCCGCGGTGGGCCACCGCCGGGCCGAGCGGGCCCCGGACGTGGCCGCGGGCGGAATCGTGCGGAGCTTCGCGGCCACCCACGTGGCGATCGCGTGCGCGCCGGAGATAAAAAGCCATCCGGTCCTTGGCTCGCCTTTGGTCAGCTGATGATCAAGTGAAGGAGGAGAATCTTGGTGTTGTATTTCTTCGATAATTAGTGCGTACAGTACATCCGGGGGCATGTAGCTTCCATTGCTCACAAACACAAACGTGTAATGCATAGGTGAATATTATTTCTCTTCTCTCCAGGAAAGTTTCTGCTCCCTCATTCTAAATTATAATGTATTATGGCTTTACTAAACACTTAGTTGTACATTATATCTAGATATATTGTAAAAGTAATGTATCTAAAAAAATCAAAACGTCTAATATATAGTTTAAAGCGAAGAGAGTAGCTGATTGCTCCTGAGCTTAGCAGCATAAGCAATGGCTGAAGTAGACCTAAGCAAATTCCAGCATTGTTTGCATATATTCATATTTTGTGCTCTCATGAACGTATTCGAAACGCTAGGCCGATGAATCTTAAGATTGATTTAAATCCCTTGAAAGACACATAAACTTGCTAATACAGACCCAATGTTGATCATGTATAGCTTAGTTAAAGATTTATTTATATTTAACAAGCATAAACCTAAATAAAATCTATAACTAAGTTATACATGATCCAATGAGTATGAAATTTTTACTACAGTTTAAGCATACAATAATTAATCCATCATAAAAATTTCACCATAATGAGACCATAGAAACTGTAGCTATGAATTATTCTAATTAATTACAGAAAAGTATAGATCTAAAGCCACGTCAAAAACTTTATACTAATGCATACCATATTATATGTTCACTGTGTAGATCTACTCGTGTGGAGTCCAACAAAATTAGATTTTCTATTTTATGATTTTTCTATGATTTACTATGATTTTTCAAAGATTCAGCCGAAATAAAAAAAAAGACAAAACCGCCTTCAAAACCGCTTATAACAGGGCCAGGAAGGTAGGATAAACGGTTTTAAAAGTTGAGGGAGGTGTTTTGCCCGGTTTTGAAGTTCAGGAAGGAAAAACGGACTTTCGCGAAAGTTGAGTCAGATAACGTGGACTTTTTCCGGCCATCTATTGACAAATCAGATGGGCTCAGATGGGCCCTGTTACGGCACCCGGAAGTTAGGCTTCTGCCTCTTATTTCAGCACAGAAACGGCCCCCAACAGCCCAATGGAAGGGACCCATTGCAGCAGCAGCCAGCAGCGCCGTGAGAACCGCGGCCGTGCGCGCCAACAGGCTGTCTCGACGGTGCTCGCTTCCCCAGTGTTGTAAGAAATCGACCTGCCGGATGCACGCACGCATGAATATATCCAACACGAAATGAATGGACTCTCCGCCACCTCTTAATCACCTGACGATTAATTCCCGGAGGATCGGAGGCAACAAGCAGATGCATATGGGCAGTGGCGGTGCAAGATTTTCGACGCGCGCAGCGATACTACCTGCAGTGGCCTACTAGCAGCTTCTTATGTAATGTACCTCTTATGTAATGGCCTACTGGGAGTTAGCATCGAGATGTGTATATATATTATGGACAATGTTACGATGCTTCTCTTATACAGTACTCAATACATCCCAAATTGTAAAACGTTTGACTTTTTTGACATTAAGTTTGACCACTTGTCTTATTCAAAAATTTGTGTAAATATCACTTCTTTTCGTCGTGGTTTGGTTTATTAATAAAATTCTTCAAGAATGACTTAAATTTGACTATATTTACACAAATTTTTGAATAAAACGAGTGGTCAAACTTAAGCCAAAAAAAGTCAAACGTCTTACAATTTGGGATGGAGGGAGTACCTTTTAAAAAGTAAGGGTTTAAATCTGGACCATTGAATTTTACAAGGTATAACAAAATTTAATTGAATTCATATAATAGTAAAAAATTGAAACAATATATTTTTTTTAAAAAAAGGAAATAACTAATGTATCTACTTCAAAACGACCAAATCTTCTATGCATGATTTTCCGGTGTCATACTTGGCCATATGGTGCGTTTGGTTCAGAGACAAGATAAGATAGGATGGACCGTCCGTGATTTTAGGGTTGGGATCATCTCATATGTATGTTTGGTTGTGAGGATAGGATCGTCCCTATTTGTTGTTTGGGTTAAGGGATTTGCTGGTGGCCCCACGAGTCATCCTCCTAATCTTTTTTTTCTTGGCATCCTTATCTTCTTCTCCTCGCGTGTGCAAATGAGGAGAACTCATGCTAACAACAAGGTACAGTAGGAAAAGTGCTCCTACGCCACAACCTCACGTACAAGTAAAACAACAAACAAAGCACCAAGTCAAAATGCAGCAGTTTTGCTTCACATTTTCGTATCATTCAATTCATAAGGGCTATGATAGCAAACAAATATATTTTTGGAATCTACACGACAAGGCCTACAACTTTCATAAAGAGTTTATATTTTTATCACGTCTTTAAGATGGCCTAAACTGCGGTTGAAAACGGACTTCAGAAACTTTCTAAGATTTGAAACAACAAGCTTTACATTTTCATCTCCATATCTTTATGTCCAAAAATTATGAAATTTCACCAGATAGCAAATCATTTCATAATCTACAACTTTCATAAAGAGTTTATATTTTTATCACGTCTTTAAGATGGCCTAAACTGCGGTTGAAAACGGACTTCAGAAACTTTCTAAGATTTGAAACAACAAGCTTTACATTTTCATCTCCATATCTTTATGTCCAAAAATTATGAAATTTCACCAGATAGCAAATCATTTCATAATCTACAACTTTCATATTCCTCATATTTGCAGATATGGTTAGCAAGATGACCTAATGCATGAGCAAAGCTTAACTGAAAATTTTGTAGAGAAAATAGTACATCCGATTTTAAAAATCTATACCTAGAGTTCCTCTTATCCAAAAGCCATGATCTTTGCCAATCCAAAAATAAAATAGAAAGTACTACAAGCCTCTTATAATTTGTATAGTCCCATCATGAATCTAATGTTCTCAAAATTCTTCTAGATCAAATTAAAATCGTGCAATTTCACGAGCTAATAGATTGAAAGTCTTGTAAAACTTTCTCATTATACATTTTAGGAGGAATAGTCATTTAAGCCATGAAAAGTACAAGAACAGCCACACTACTCAACAGGCAGCAGAATCCTATATTTGATTCCAAAGGCGATTCTTCCTCTCCCAATACCACTTATTTCCAAGACCAAAGACCATCCAAACATATCAATCAGAAGACCCAAAGAGGGAATCATTTCACCTTGGCTATCCCCAAGATAGGGTAGCAAGAAACAGATCTTGGCTCTCCTCGTTTCTCTTTCCCTTGGCTACTAATGGTTTGGGGGAGGTGTTAGAGAGGAGAGGGCTAGGGAAGAAGAGGGAAGATATGCTCGAGAGGAGGAGCTCGAGCAAGAGAAAGGAGAGCAGCTAATGGGTGAGGGATGTGCATTCTAGGGTTGGGCTACTGACTTGGGCTTGGCGGTGGTGGTGTGCTGGCCTTGGGCCTTCTAAACCCTTTCTTTCAGTTTTGATGTGTTACATGTTATAATGTAGGTAAACACTGTGTGCATGCACCGTAATGGCTTCTAACCTAGTAACGGATACAGATAAAGCATCGGTTTCTCTTTATAGAATAAGTTGAAGTGTAAACTTGAGGTTAGATATACATGGTGGACAGGGGACCAACCACCGCCTCTGCTAACTGCCCAAGATACACTTTGTACGCTAAAGGTGTAGAACACATGAAAGTATGACTAGTTATGTTTGCACATTAAAAAAATATGGATAGCACAACACACATATACTAAGAAAAACATGAGCTTTGACTTCATGTTTAGTTTCCTCCAATTCATTTGGAGTAGCCCTTTCAATACAAATTTCGAAGGAGATGTTGGTTATCATTCCTTAATTCAAATACTTCTTTGCATAATTATTAGTACAAACCAAAAGATATTCGAAGTAGCAGTTCTGGTGCCGACGGAAGGAATAAAATTTGATAGTTTCCACAATGACATGATAAAAGAAATGATCTTATTCCAAAAGGAAATTCGGTTTGTCTATAATTAGTATAACATGCTTTATCCATTCTTGGATATCGATCTGCCATCCTCTGGAGACCAATTTATTTGAAACTCGCTAGGATTGAGAGACCTGAAATTTCCATTAGATATGTTAGCTCAACAGTGTAGCATGAACCATACGATGTTGCATGTGTTGGTTTTCTGGAGCAGAAAACATAGTCAAAATCTATCTATATATATATAATACTAAAGAGGCAAAATTTCCTGCCGTTTTTTTCGGTCCATCAATTTTTGGTACGTCTCCCTTTAACTACCGGACAATAGAGAGTTTCTTCCGTCCGGACTTATATATATAACCCGTGTTCATATGAGTTAGAATAGCTCTTGTCTCAGCTAAAGTATGGAGTCCGATTTCAAAACGTATTGGTTCATGTGTGTGAGTGTGACCGGACTCTGTTTTCCTATTCCTTCTTTACCTGAGACTAATCCGACTTCTAAAACTTTGTTTTCCTATTCCTTCTTTACCGAGACTAATCCGACTTCTAAACTTTTATCTATATATGTCGCTGCTTTCTTTTTTCTTTAGTCTGCGAGTCCACGTAGGAGTTTGTCGCTATTTTCTTTTTATATTTATTTCCTTTGTCTCCTTCTCACTACCGAAAACAGTATATATGCCAAGTGCTTGGTAATTTACCGAGTGCATTCTTTCGAGCACTCGAAAGCAGATATCTTAATTTGAGTGCCTATAGGTAAGAACTCGGTAAAATAAATACACTTGATTAAAAACTTATTTGCCGAAAGTGCAGGAAATAAAAACACTCGACAAACAACAACAAGACACTCGGCAAAGAATAGACACTCTGCAAAAGACCGCTGACGCGAGTGACGGCCGTCAACCAAGGTGCGGCGTTAGAACTTTGCCGAGTGTCGGCTAGTGACACTCTGCAAGTGTTTTTTATCTCGCACTCGACAAAAGGTTCGCTTTTGCCGAGTGTTTTATTTTGACACTCGGCAAATTAAAAAGTTTTTTCCTCCCCGACTTTGAAACTTTTTCACGCTCCACATACAACATGTGGTACCCATGTTAAGATTTGGTATATTTCGGATACGTTTGTTATATTTAATTAATTTATTGTCTTTAAAGGATTTTTTTTTGGTATAAGGCAAATTTGAGCTGCAAGTGATTCAAATAATATAATAAAATGAGTAGAAAATGATATTCATGTTATTAAGTCCCGTGTGAGGCCTTACCGGGAAATAAAAGGAAATTTCGAACATCTTGTTCAGAAAACACGACCACGAGCGCAGGGCGAATGATCACCCCAAGGATCATCTTCTGCAGCTTCACCCAAAGGATCATCATTTGCAGGACTTTCCTCAATGTTAGCAATAGGCTTAGCAGAAGCTGGTCTAGCATTAGCAACATGCTCAGAAGGATGAGCATCTTTTGTAGCCCCATGTATAATAGGACCTGCCACAACAGTACATGCGCTCTGCTGTGTGGATTGTGCATGTGAATCTGCTACTACGCAAGAAACTCTAGTACATGGCTGGTTAATGACTGAAACAAGCAGAGGGAGCCTTCGCATGTCCCAGGACATCACAAATGCGGCAAGCAGTGTTGCGTCAGAGACAATCTCCTTGTACTCACCTGCAATCTTGTCCCAAAAGGTAACAGACAGACTTTGGTTCCTACCATGCTTTATCTCTTCATCTAAGTCAGCATAGAAATCCATCCACGAAATTGTATCCTTGTTGCGAACCCAATTCTTATGGCTGCTAACATGATACTCATGTCTACCATTTTCCACGTGCTGCTCATGGGCTAGGATATGAATGGAAAGTCTACAAACTGCATTGGGATCCATCCTATTGCAGCCAAATGCAAAAGAAGAATGACGGATTCAAACATGAGGATTAAATAATCGAACTAATAAAACACAGTGAAGGACTAGATGCCTAACTCTACATCATGAACCTAGCTACAAGCATAAGATACAAGCACGAACTAGATCCCCAAACCTCGCATTTAATTCCTGAATCCTAATCACATGGAAAAGCACGAATGAAGGATTTTAGTCTTACCCGACAGGAACCCATGATAGATTCACTGGGGAATCAACGCGGCGCAGGTGCCCTGTTCGGGAGCTATTCAACGCCATCGCCCTACCTCATGCGGGGAAGGGCCTGCCTCGCCGATGCTGCTGCCTGCCGTGCAGACCTGGGCTCGATGCCAGCCCACCCTAGTGCCACATGCTCCGGGGTGGAGCAACGCCTGCTGCAGTTGGTGGCGGCCAGCGGACTCGAAAACGCCCAGCAAAAAGTGAACGGTACGGTGATGGAGATACAGGCTGGAGATGGAGAGCAGCAGCCGGTGAATTACAGCCACAAAATAAAGCAAGGGTATAATGGTCCATTTGCCCAACCTCCTCTCTCCTCCCCAATGACAAAAGACTTTTTTATTGTGTTTTGTGTATGAGGCGCTAAACCAGAATCACACGGTGTCCAGCAAACGGAAATGACGAGTGTGGTGTCCTAGGAACAAAACCATGTTTCTTGGATCTCCTGGAGACAAAAATCCCTAAAAGTCCATCCTAGCAACTCTAATTCTTTACCCATAAAGTTGATCAATACTAAGTACGGATAGCACAAGCAAATCCAACACCGGACAAAAGGATGCTTCAATTGATAGTATAAACTCTGCAACAGGTCGTGACGATGGATGGAGGAGAAAGCTAGTCTGCTAGGATTAAGGAGTTCGTTGCTGGATAGTCCTAGACGCAGGATGCCTGACACATGGATCACTGATTCACCCGGGGGTGCCCTAGGCGCCAACTGGTTGCTCCCTGGAGGTATTTAAATACCAAGAAGCCAAGTAGTTGGAGATGCAGAGATGAGTTCCGGAGTTGGAGGGGCAGCATTGGTGGACGGAAAGCAGGACAGGGAGGAGGAGACGAATGCATCTGCTCACTTCTCGCCTTCTCTTGAAGTGGATGCTGCTTTGCATGCTATATAGCTGGTGATCAAAAGGACGCCAAACCTTAATGCTTCGTATGCCCATTGAAAGCATTGATTAAATGCTTGCCGCTGGTTCATTTAGATGCAGGACGAACCGAGTCTAGAAACTGATAATGGAAGTGCATGATTCATTGCTTCTGTAAACCGTTTCTATTTCTGTTTAATGGGATGTGCATGGCAGATGAGAGGACGTGCAGTGACATGATGAACGAAGGGATAGGATTTAACTTGGCCTTAAGATTGGACGGATAGAGTTGAATGCGGGCAGGAGGGACTGATGACGTGGAGGGCTGTGGATTTAGAAAATTGTTAGTGGGGTTTTCCTTTATAAGAATATAGGATGACAGGCTGATTCATTTCCTCATGTAAGAAATGTACGCCTTTGCAGATTCCTTGAACTATTCTAAACCGTGTGTCCCAGTCAATTCTATTAGATTCGTCTGAAGAAGCGTAACAAGGAGATATGTAAGTGATCTTTAACAGTAAATAAAAAAAACTTATTATACTGATTACTCATTTTAATTTTCTGGTTTATAATATTAATTTTAATTAATAACTTATTTATCTTCAAGCAGCAATTTTATATTATTACCTAAAAACTCAATGGGATGCAAACATCAAAGGAATTAAGTAGTGGAATGCTGTCGAATGTTGTAGTACATATACCAAATAGATACTTGTCAAGGCTTCCTTAGGTAGATATTCATAGCAGAGAAAATTTCTGTTACATCTACAATGACATATCTTCCATAGCTTTGCACCACCTTCTTCCGTTTTTCATAACAGTAGCCAATCAACTTCACTATATTTTCATGTTGGGCTGCCATAAGATTACAGACCTCGTAATTGAATGTTTTCTCATAATCGGCCACATCTGATTTTTCCTTAAGTTTCTTCACAGCAATCATTTCCCCATTCTCGGCAATTCCCTATGTCAAGTATCATGTATTATGTATATTGGCGTGCTGACATGTTTTTAGTCAACTTGAGAAGGCAGGGAAAAAACTTCAGGCATATATAATCATACCTTGTAGACTGTTCCAAGTGCACCTTTACCAATTTCGCTCTGAGAGAAATAATCTGTGATTTGGTACAGAAACCTTGCTGGTATATTCTTAGGCAATGTGCTTAGAAGAGTAGAGCTGCTGTCAGTGGTCATCCTTGATTTAAGTTGTGGTCTGAGCGATAGCAAGACATAGCACACACTGTATGGACGGTTAGAACGTCTAATTCATGGAAATATGACACAGTACTTAAACAACTTGTGAAAGAAAAAAAAAACAGGCTCAAAATTTACAAAATCATTAGAAAATAACCATATTCTTCAAAGCCAGAATATGCATAAACTGTACCACTACACAATGATTCCAAAAAAAAACATACAATACTGAAAAAACACTCACATTAGATATCTTGTTCGTCACGATTTTTAGAACTCTAAAAGCTAGCAACCGTGTAAGATAAACTTATCGGCTACTGATATATCTTGCTAGACTTATCTTTGGTGGCCGGAGAACCTCCTGGAAAATACGAGTATTTTTCATGGTTATATTATAGACCATGCATCCAATAAGATGCCTGTATACTTCGGAAAGCCATGGGCCTTATTGGTTTGTGTATCATGCCTTTAAACTTTCATTTTGGCGTCTTAATACGACTGTGTTTGGTGGAACGAAGCACCTTGGACACTGCTTTTGGCTTATTTCATAGCTGTTAGAGAGAGAGAGAGAGTTAGTTAGGTTTTATACTTGTTTGAACCAAACAACTTACAACTTTCCACCACATCACTTAGCTCAAAGTTTTTTTTTTATAGGTCACAGTTCACAGTAGTTTTTTCACAGTCCACAACTAAACCAAACAGATTTACATTTACATAATAGTTGTAGGGGCTTTAGATTTATATTACCTTGAATCATGATATGAGAAATGACTCAATACTAAGTTTCTTTTTTCAAATCAGAAAGCAGTTTTTTGAATGAATGAGACATGAGAGCTTCTAATTATACAAGAAAAGGAGAAATATCCAGATTTGACAGTTACAACGAACAACAAAGACCCCATAAGGGCGTCCCCAAAGGGAGCTCAAATCGCCAGCATATATATTATTTTATGCCACTTGGACGGAAGAGAATGCAAAGAATACACTTGTTAGCAAGTCATGAAACAGCTAGCTCGCACGAAAAAAAAAAAACTCCCTGTCTCTGACCCTCGGTCCTTCTCATCTAATCAGACCTGGGTACTGTTTTGTTCAATATTTTAACTTCCTTTCTCTGCTTGCAGCTAGCGATTTCATCCGGTCCGTTTGGGGACGCCCTAAAGGTCAAGTAACCAAAACAAAAGTTAGCAATAAAAAGCAAAAAGCAACTAGACAACTATAAACGGCAGGCAGCTGAATTGGGACGACTTTACACAGCTGCACCATTCTACACATGGAGCGGAACCAATGGCAGAGCTAAGTAGTTGTCACACCTTCAGTTCCGCTCGCGCTGCCTATCGATGTTGTCAAGCATCGGGCTACTCTTGCTAAAACAGGATAGCCACCACAGTCCGCTGCAAGCCGCTAAGCCGAAGACATGAACAACTTTTGGCCATCTCCAATCCAACCACGTCCTTCGAGATCCGAATGCATGCATCAGAAGCTCTCGGCAACCTGGTTGCCTCCTCAAAGACAGCAGAAATGTCAAGCGGGGCTTCGAACTGCCATCTGAAGACCTTCTTGGTCTCTGAGACAGCTAGACAACCTGTCGCCTCACCAATTAACAGACCAACCTAGTAGAAACTTCTGTTATCTACCTCCTCCTGCGTTAGCCAATCATGCCGACTTCGCGGACACCTATGGCACACAGCTCTGCCATAGCATCACCTAACAACTGATAAACAGAAGCCAACCACTCAAAGTACTACGCTTGCGTCCTCGTCATAGTCGCATTTCTCCACCACTGACATCTGAACCTCGAATCCACAATTTTAACTCAACTTCGGCTTGCAGAGACCGTCGCCCCACCGACCTCACCACAACAAGCCCTCGCACCACCACAGCTTGCTCCCACTGTACCATGATGTGGCGCTTACACACATCGCTGAACAACCTCCGTAGCCTCCTCCATGGACCATGGACCATGGGCCCAGACAACCTCCTTGCTGCAGCCACCTCGCCATAGCCACCATCAGCTAGTGGCATCCCTTAACAACATGTGTAAGCCGCCGCTGGCGTAAGTCGTCGCCGTGCCGCCACAGGTGTCAGACCACCGCATAGGTAGCCAATACGCCCTTGCACACACTGCCCTCGCGCCAGCTCTCGCGCGGCCGCCGCACCTCCTTGAAGACGTTCAATGCGGGCACGTGGACGCGCCACACCAACACCAATGAGATGATTTGGATTTTGTCATCATCAAACTTGGCTTCGCCTGTTTGCCATCCCATAAAAGGTTTAGCTAGAATCCAATTATCAAATTGGGCACTTATGAAATGTCATTCTCGTCGTTTCTTCCAAAATTTAATCTTTTTTATTTCAGCTATTTTCTTTCCTGTTGTACCCTACCTCCAAAATCCTTCTCTCTTTGTTTTTCTTCCTTCTCCTCACGCACCCACACCAGGAGCCGAGAGCCGGGCCGCTGGCCGGACGCCGTGCCACCGCTGCCGCCCCAACGCTTAGTCCGCCGCCACCACCCCAACGCCATGTTAGATAACTAGGCATTTTCATGGTCAATTTAATCCAGAAATAAACATCGCAGGTTCGTGACAACATATATGTGCATGTATATATCACTAACAAACGCTACAGCATGCAAGTATGACATACCGATTGATACAGTAAGTACGCAAAGTATAGTAATCAGAGAGTTTAGAGTGTACCCAGCGGAGGGTCCCATGCCGAGGGCATCGGAGGCTCCATTCGCACCGCACATAGTGCGTTGTTTCAAGTCGTGGACCACAATGATGGAGGAAGGTGTTCGCAAAGGCGCCCCACGAACGGTCACCGGGAAGAAGACACCTTGTTGTTCATGAAGCGATCACAGGAAGAAGACGTCTTGGACGAGCAGTCATGAATCGCTTCCCCTAAAAACCTAATCGCCACGACACCCCGTGCAAGGTTCATGCAGACAGACGAGGGTTCCGGAGGCAATCGCTCTCCCGTTGCTCCGTCAAGCAGAGGTAATGGATGGAGATGCGAAAGTAGCAGCCGGGCAGCAAAAAAAGGGAGAGTGAGTGGTTTTCAGCCGCAAGCGTTAATTAGAGTACGCACCTTTTTATAGAAGCAAGAGAAAGAGATTGAACAACATCACGGTGATTGATAGCCATTAACCACCATCGGTTCCTAGTAACCTCCAAATCGTTACTAGTCATTGGTGTCACCATTCACCAAAGACCATCGATTATCGAAGAACCTCCAGCCGTTACTAGTCATTGGTGTCAGCCATTAACCAGCCATCAGTTACCGCGCCTCGGTACGGCTCGGCGAGCGAGCGCGCACGCGTGTGACACCCTCTCTCTCTTTGTCAACTTCTCAATTAGTGCACAGATAGTTCACCAATTTAAATTGGTTAAGATACTCCTTAACTACCCATTTGGGATTAATCACTTTAACCACCTAGCATTAATCGTGGGCCTTGAGATTAAATGAAATAAATGGGCCTAGCCCAAATATTCCAAACAATCCCCACCAAATTT